GGGGGTGTGGAGGCTTAAAAACAGGGGTACCTCGGGTTAAGAACTTAATTCGTTCTGGAGGTCCGTTCTTAACCTGAAACTGTTCTTAACCTGAGGCACCACTTTAGCTAACGGGGCCTCCACGCAATTTCTGTTCTCATCCTGAGGTAAAGTTCTTAACCTGAGGTACTATTTCTGTGTTAGCGGAGTCTGTCACCTGAAGCGTCTGTAAGCTGAAGCATCTGTAACCCGAGGTACCACTGTAACTGAAAGGTAATTATCAGGGGAAAGGGTCATGGGTGGAGGCAGGATTTAAGGGGACTGGCATAATGGGGAGGGGTGCACAGAACCAAACTCACCATCTTTGAGTTTCATTTCTCCCCAAAAGCTCACCAGCTTTTGTGTCCTGAATTTGTCTTCTAGAAATATGGCAACCCTAGACTTTAATAGTTAAAATTTTAATACATAAAAGTGTGTGTGTGTGGGGGGGAGAGACCCACACCCACACCCACACACCAGACATTCCTTTATACTAGCTATTTCTCAGAAATGAAAGTGGGTTAATTGGTGAAGTGGCATTTTCAGAGACTTCAGTTGGGCTTGTAATTTCTCGATTGCTCTCAGAAAGAATTCACCCAATGCCTCTGGGGGTAGGATTACTAGATAGAGCCATCCAGTCTTTGTGATGAGCTCATATCTTTGGGTAGGCGGCAGAGAAGTGGCAAAGTGGTAGATCATTTTCAAGTGGCATTTGCACACATTGATTAGTTTGTGGGTTCCGTAATGATGAAGTCCGCTCACATAACCCAGTGTTGTGAACACACTCCTCCCTGCAGCCACATAGAAACAGAGGGAGCTGCCTTACACCAGGCCAGGCTATTTATCTGTTTAGCTCAGCATAGTCTGCTCTGTTCCCTGTAGAACATCTTCTTTACATGCAGAAGGTGCCAGATTTGAGCTCCAGGCAGGACTCTGAGAGAGAACCATGCCTGATTTCATGGAGAGCTGCTTCTAGTCAGTGACTTTCAGCAACCCTCCGGGTTTCAGGCAGGGTTCTCCCCCAGTCCTAATTGGAAATGTTGGGGACTTTTTGCATGCAAAGCAGATGCTGTACTGCTGAGGTTTTGTCTTCCCCCTCCTCTTAATGGTCCAGCAGTCTTAAGGAGAGAAATATATTTCTCATCACCTGCTCTCTGAGTCTTTTAATTGAAGCTGCTGGGGATGGAACCTGGGGGCTGTAGTTTAAGGGTACTCAGATGTCCCCCATGCCCTTCATAGACCCCTCATTCCCAGAGTGATTTAACAATCACATACTGTTCCAGCTTTTTCAGATCAAAACTTGGGATGTGCGTCTGTCGGGACATGCGCCACAGCAAGTCACGTGACCTGCACCATGATCTCACTAAAAAAACACACACGCTGCACTTTTTCAGGGTGTTATCTTGTGCAGCCCTTCAGGAGAAAGTGCTTTTTAGAGGTGAAAGCATGGCGCTCAAAATATCTGCTGCAATCTAGCACAGAAAAAAATGGGATGTCCCATTTTTTTCCAGGACACTTGGCGGGTATGCAATCAACTTCTCTTCCTAGGGAATTGTAGCTCTGTGAGGGGAATTTGGGTTTCCTAAGAATTCTTGGGGGCAAAGGATTCTCCAGGATTCTTTGGGGGAAAGCCATGATTGTTTAAGGGGTATAATGATGCTTTAAATATAAGGTGTGTATCTGGCCTTAGTATCTGATAGCTTGAATTTCCAGCCAGAAACTTTTAAGTCCTGCCAAACAGTCTTCCTTTCAGGCACTGGTAGGCTGGGACCCCTTCCCTTGTAGCCATTTCAGGCTTTTCTGTTTAACAAATCAAGACGTCTTTCCTGCAAGTTAAGTAAATTCTGAAATCATAGATTATGAATTAAAGGTATCGATGGTGCATCTTACCGGGTTATCACAGAGCATTTCGTTCAATCTGTTTAGGGATAAATCTGACATCTAATTCTCCAGTTACTCTGCAATCATCTCTCTATTGATCTCTCCCTCTGCCATGTCTGCACAGTGTTTTATAAACTTTACTGTTCACCCTGATGGATTCAATAAGTGCATAGCCATATTTAAATAGAGAACATTTTCCTTCCACACTAAGCTGATTCTGCTTATATGAACTGATCACATCTGGTTGACATGTGAAAGAAAGCCCTGTGAGGGGAGAGACTCGCTGAATGGGTTCAGACCCTCTTCATCTGCTGGCTGAATGTGTGGATGGTGGGCCTATGGTCTGACAGCAGGGTTGGCCCACGAAGCCTTGCAACTTGGATAGCTCAGTTGTTTAGAGTGTGGTGCTGATAATGCCAAGGTTGCAGGTTCGATTCCCGTATGGGACAGGGTCCCTTCCAACTCTACGATTCTATGATTCTATCACACACACGCACACACACACACACGCACGTACACACACTGCAAGTTCTTCCAGTTCATGAGGAAGTAGCCCCTAGTGAGGAGCAACATAATGTATGCAACCCACAATATATTTGCCTCGTTCAGTGCCCAGGTAAGATGGTGTATGTGGTGAGGAAGGCAACTGGATCAATCACAGTTGTTTATTAGGTGGGTGGGTGTCCAGATACACTGAGGAAGGGGAGGGTTCTCTGTACACCCCAGGGGCGGACTTTTCTTTCCTTTTGTATTGGTTTTGTTAGCTCAGTTGGTTGGAGCGCGGTGCTGATAACTCCAAGGTTGCAGGTTTGATCCCCGTATGGGGCAATTGCATATTCCTGCATTGCAGGGGGTGGATTAGATGATCCTCAGGGTCCCTCCCAATGTTACAATTCTACGATTGAGGTGGGTAACCAATTACCCTAATATACCTGGGGGCAGGGAAACTGGGATCCTTGCTTCACCAGCGGTTTTCCACCCGAGGCACCATGACACACCCCACTACTCTCTTGCTGTGCCATTTGCTCTGAGTTCATGCCTGTTTTTCAGCTGAGGATGCCAAGGTCTTAGCAAACAGCACCAAGATCCAGGCAGCTTATAAGAGACATGATACCGAGATGACACGGGGTCATCCAGTTTAATCCATCATGGCTGACCTATAGTGTGCTTTGTACTCATCATAGTGGCTGGTTCTGCAGGTCTAGTGGGCCCCAGATGAACAAGAGTGAGAACTTGAGAGCATAGGGCCTCACAGGATGCAATTCCTTTTTTGTTCCCCACTTTTATGATCTCCCAGCACAGCCAGATAGAGTTGAAATTTCACTGCATGGAAAAGGTTAATGCCAGGGCACCTCTGTCGTTTTGTAAACCTCTGCCTTGGACTGGATTTATACTTTGATTAAGGACCATGTCTCTGGTGGCCTATATGAATAAAGGGGCTAGATAGCAGCATGCTCATTGAACTATCTTCTGATTTGGGCCTGTCTTTTTGGATTATGTGTATATATTTTCCTGGTTGGGTTACTTTTGTTGTTGTATTACAAAGTGGCGATAAGTCTCCCTCCCCCCCCGTGGTTCATGTTTACTTTTTGCTGGATTAGCCATTCTTTTTGTCTTATCGGTAGGTGACCTTTAAAGGCAGAACTTGTTCCTTCCTTGCTTGCCATTGGGAGTAACACTTGTGATATTTGAGATCTTAGATAAGCGTTAAGTCCAGCCTTTGTCCTGGCTCCCACTGGATGAAGGGCTTGGACTCGGATTACGTTTTCTGTCAAAACCTTTCATGCTGAGATCAGTGTGATACATAAGCAGGTGCAAAGACATAGCTGCGCAAGCGAACACATTGATCCAAGAGTTGACATCCTCCCTGGGCTCCTGTTAGGAGGAAGTGGAGCGGGCACGGCCTCAACATGCCAAGCAAGAGGCATATTTCGCCTGAGGGAGCAAAAAGGAACTCCGCCTGGTGGGCTGGCCATGAAACGTCTCTTCACAGTGGCATTGGTGTCTCCGTGTCCTCGGTGACAGAGGAGGCAACAGTGCTAGCTTGGAGCATCACTCCTGGAGCCACTCCAGGAGTGCTGAGGGGGAAAAATAAATCTCCTCTGGCAACCAATGTGGCCCTGTGGTTTCAGATAACATATGGGTTGTTGTTGTTTAGACGCATCTGACTCTTTGTGACCCCATGGACCAGAGCACGCCAGGTACTCCTGTCTTCCACTCTGACAAGTCTAAAAAGCCCAGGACACAATCTTTAACAGCTCTTGGAGCGGCTATGGTGACTCATTAACCAGAAGTAATTTAGCATTAACTCTGGAAGTGTATACAGTGGTACCTTGGGTTACAAACACCTCGGGTTACAAACACTTCAGGTTACAGACGCCGCTAACCTGGAAGTGGTACCTCGGGTTAAGAACTTTACCTCAGGATGAGAACAGAAATCGTGGCGGCAGCAGGAGGCCCCATTAGCTAAAGTGGTACCTCAGGTTCAGAACGGTTTCAGGTTAAGAACGGGCCTCCGGAACGAATTAAGTTCGTAACCAGAGGTACCACTGTATTCGATTCTGACCAAACTAAGCTCGCTAGAGCAAACTATACATAGGAGTCTGACCTCATCAGAACCAACTGATTTGAAGTTCAGCCATGCCCCTATCTGCTCCACGCCTGATGGCATAAGGTGTGGAGCAGAGAGGCATGACTTCGCCAAAATGGGGTCTCCCACCACTGTTCCAGATTGATTAGTGCTGATGGGTCCCAAGTTAACCCTTTCAACTGTCAGAGCTTCTTCCAAAGAATCCGGGGGGACTGCTGTTTGTTAAGAGTGCTGTGAGTTGTAAGAAGGTCCCTATTCCCCTGGCAGAACTAGAGTTACCTGGGAAATGGTGTTGATTGATAAACCACTCTTGGAATGGCAAAAGTGACTTTCCCGTGTGCATGTGCTCCCCACTAAGCTACGGCAGCTGCAGGATCTAGTTTAAAAGTTGGCCACCGTGTTACTGAACTTGAAAGCTTAGCTGGATTCGCTAAAACCTTGCACTTGTAGCTGATAGTCTTCCAAAACAACAACAGGATTTCTTTCTCTTTCTCCCCTCCCAACCATGCAGAAGGAGGTTGTGGTGAAGCCTCATGACCTCATGGAGAAGCGCCTGGAGCCCTTTGTGAAGAAGAAACGGGACGTGCTCACTAATGGACTGCCGTACCACCTGAAAAAGAACAGACTGCACCATCGCCACTACAGCTCAGATCGGGAGAATGACCGCAACCTTTGCCAACATCTCAGGAAAAGGAAGAAGTTCCTGAAAGGCCTCAGTCAGGTAGGAAGTGTTGAAAAATATATTGGAGTGGGATGGCCTTATTTCTCTTATTTATCTGTTTGCTATCTCTGGCATTGTTTTCCCTCCTGGTTTCTGCTGCAACGTCTTTCTCCTCTTGGGGTTGGGCCCTTGAGGTTGCCTCTTGGCAAGATGGGAATGGAATGTTGAGTCAAAGTTGGGCTGATGTTGTCTTGGGTGTTTCTCTGGCTTAAAGATTCCTAGATGTAAATGAGTTGCTACTCCAGTCAATGGAACTGATGGGACTAGGGTTGTCTCAGCATTACAGGTGGCCTAGGGGGGCAACAAAGATGGCACAGCTCTAGGGGAATGGTGTTGAGCGCCACACCAGAAGGTGGTGCATGCAAATGAGTTTGTAAGCAGGATTGCTTCTGGGATCTGTGTCTGCTGGATTCCTCCCCACAACTTGCATTTCTGCTTTATGAGATATGTCCATTGCAGCTGTACAACAGTAGGGTTGTTGCTGTTGTTTTAAATATTTTTTACTAAAATCCCAGGGGTTGGCAATTAAAGGAGAAAAAAATGGAAAACTGAACATAGAAGGACAGATGAGCTGGAGAGTTCAGAGACAGAAATGGCTGTTTCCAATGGTGATTTTAGATGGACAAATAGCACCCTATTTCAAATGTCGAGGTTTTATTTATTATATTATATTTTCATTTTCCCTCCCCACCTGGTAGGATCAGAATTTCATTTCCTCCAGAAGGGTTTTGTAAAATTTATTTCTTTTTAAGGAAACGGGTCATAGTTTGGCTTTGTTCATTACGACCACAGATGGCTCCAAGTGAGGAGCTTGCTCTTACAAAGTTTGGGAGGAGCCTGAGGCCTTTGGTGCCTCTGTCCTCAACCTCCTCCAGGCTCCACCCCCTTGAGAGAAATTCAGGGCCTTAACTGGCCAACCTTCTGACCTGAAGATGGACACTCTGCCTTCATTCCATAGTTTTCTCCTGATGTGCTCCTGGTACTGCTGGACTGGTGATGTGTGGTAGGAGGCATCCGGTTTTTCAGGAGCAGGGGAAAGTGCCTCTGAGAGCCTGGGCTGTGACCCTATAGGCCCTGGTGGTCTGGGAGGTTCCTCTGGGAGTTATTATCCAACTGCCTCAGGTGCAGTTGCCTCCAGTGATCTTCTGCAGTCTGCCCTGAGCCCTGATCTAGATCCTGCTCCATATCTGGTGCCCCCGCAGCCTCCATGTTCAGTTCACTGCTGGATGCAGGGCTCATAACAGATGCTGTCAGGCACAATACGAATGGCATCTTAGGAAGGTGCCTAACCTGTTGTTGAGTACATAGTACAATCGTTGCCTAGATGCTATGCTGGCATGGCATCTCTATGTACTGAGGATGCACTCTTGGCTTGTGCAGGGAGTTGAACTTGCTGGTTTGTAGCACATGAGCCCATGGCCAACCTGCCATGCTGTATGATGGTGAGAACAGCCATGATCTTCCTTCGCCTTTTCTTACAGGCAAACCCTTAATGGAGTGCTCATAATTAAGTAGGAATTTTTTTTTGGGGGGGGCGACCATATGGTTTATGAAATAATAGTGATTGTTTCCAGTAGAAAGTGGCTTCATGTGTGCGTGCGTGTGCAAGCGCTCTTAGGAAGTACATGCATCAACGCAAACATGCACCATGGAACTGCAACACCATTCAAAGAAAATTTTTGGAGAAAATTTTAAATGAACAAGTAGGAGATGGTTGCTTAACCTTTTGTAAACTTTGTATATTTGCCACTCCTTGACATCAAATGGCCCCACAAGTTGTTGTCCGTGCCCAAATCAGATCCAGAGAGCCAGCGTGGTGTAGCGGTTAAGAGCAGTGGACTTGTAATCTGGTGAACCGGGTTCGCGTCTTCGCTCCTCCACATGCAGCTGCTGGGTGACCTTGGGCTAGTCACACTTCTCTGAAGTCTCTCAGCCCCACTCACCTCACAGAGTGTTTGTTGTGAGGGAGGAAGGGAAAGGAGATTGTTAGCCACTTTGAGACTCCATAGGGTAGTGATAAAGCGAGATATCAAATCCAAACTCTTCAAAATGCAAGTTTACCTGCATTTTGAACTTGGGTGGGAAGGTGAAGCTACTCAGAAGTGGAGAGATGGTGGCCAGGCGTCTGATCCCAACCATTTTCCCCATATTCCCCCCTCAAAGCTGTCTTTCCTCACGAAGGAAGAGACATTGCATGCCTGCTTATGCTCACTTGGACACAACATGCAACTTCTCAGTGGTGCTGAATGCCCTGCCTGATGTGAAACAAAATGAGCTGCCTTATGAATCTTTGTAGAAAAGCTTTCTGGCACAGTTTGCTTCTTGGGAGTCCCCAAAGCACGCAAGAGTTTCTCTGAGATTGCTTAAGGGAGGGTCTAATGTAGGCTTCCTCAACCTCGGCCCTACAGATGTTTTTGGCCTACAACTCCCATGATCCCTAGCTAGCAGGACCTGCGGTCAAGGATGATGGGAATTGTAGTCTGAAAACATCTGGAAGGCCAAAGTTGAGGAATCCTGGTCTAATGTAAAGGTAGATCCAACAAATTGGACACGAGCAAACCTCTTGTCTTGAAAGCTTGCTCACAACAACATAAAGCACCCTCTGAATATCTGGCAGAAGGCTTAAACAAGGATTGGTTGAAATGAAAAGAAAAAAAGACTTCTGCAAAGACTGAAACTGTTCTGAACAGTTTATTATAAGAACACATTTATTATTATGATTATTAATTGTTTTATTTCTGTACTTCTTTCCTCCACATAGTAGCATCTGGTTAGAGCCCAGTAAATATTCAGTATGTGACGTTCCATATTTCCAATACAATATTTGAGTGCTGGTGTTCCAAATCTGAGAATCCCGTGAAAAGAAGACGGGAGGTTTTGAGCAGTTCCAAGTAGGAAGGAAATATCACTTGGCGCACAGTCAGAATGAGAAATTCATCTTGTTCCTTGTCGGATTGTGTCACTTTTAATGAACTGTAACGCCAGACTCCAGGCATGTCCATGTCACCCGGTGCTGACTGCAGTGGTCTTTCCACTGTTCAGGAAATGCTTCCTCGGAAGTGTTGAAGATAGCCATCTGCCCAAGAAGTGCCTCATAATATAAAGCTGGGCATTGCGCTTGTGCATCACAACACACACACACATCTGTAAGGCTTAGAAATTTAGAGAAAAGTGGGACAGGTTGGAGAGGTGTATAAAACAGCGAATGGTTTGGAGAAAGAGCATAATCTCCCTCTCAAATCATACTGGAACTCAGGGACCTCTAATGAAGCTGAATGTTGGGAGATTCAGGACTGTTAAAAGAAAGTGCCGTATTTTGCGCTCTATAAGACGCACTTTCCCCCTCATAAAAAGTAAGGGGAAATGTGTGTGCGTCTTATGGAGCGAATGCAGGCTGCGCAGCTATCCCAGAAGCCAGAACAGCAAGAGGGATTGCTGCACAGTGAAAGCAGCAATTCCTCTTGCTCTTCTGGCTTCTGGGATTCAGAATATTTTTTTCCCTTGTTTTCTTCCTCCAAAAACTAGGTGCGTCTTGTGGTCTGGTGCGGCTTATAGAGCGAAAAATACGGTACTTATTCACACAGGGCATTGTTCAGCAATGGGATTCCCCCCCCCCCATGAGGGGTAGTGATGCTACTCATGTGTAGAGTCTACCTGGAGATCTTCCTCGTTGCTTGATCCATGCTCAAAAGAGCCCTGCCTGATGTGCATCCTGCCTCACCCTGTGCTAAATTCTGCTATATTTCCAGAAGCGGTTTTTCGACTGTGTGAAAGCTCAAAGATAAGGTGGAAATGGATCGTTAGGGAAACACCCATCAAATGGAATAAACTGTTGTGTGCATGCAGCCTGGGTTGTGTGACAAGGACCCAGCTGCCAAAACTGGGTCCAGGTGTAGGAGAGGGATTAAACCGTTTTACTTCCTCCCCCACTTTTTTTTTGTCAATGGTGGGGCACACCTGTCTTGGTAGAGTGTTAGCAAGACACTAGAAATTGAAGCTGGGAAGGGGAGAAGTGTCTGATTGGTTGTGCCAACAGTTGGGGGGGGGAGCGAAGCCGATGAGTTTGGATTGTGTCTTGCTGTGCTGTTCCAAGGCAAGTTGACAGCAGTGACAAGCGATTTACAACATGCTATTTAAAGTTTTGGATTTGCAGCCTCAACGTTGACGTGTGAGTGCTCTTTAGCAACTGCTTTCATTACTCCCCATCCAAGAACTGCTAATTGAAAAGAAAGCAGTGGGTGGGTTTGAGAGAAGGAGGGAAGAACGGATTGACGTGACAGTATCAAATACACAGGCTTCTATCCTGGCTTTATTTTGACAATCTTATTAACTTAAGATTGGACTCCACCAGAATTTATGCTGCCTGCCAATCCCCCCAAAACAAATGTATATGCCTGCCTTCTAGGGACTTATCAGTCAAAGGCATATAGAGCTCACTGGAATATAATCCAAGATGTCTTCAGCATGCTTGGAAGCCCTAGTCCTACTCAATGTTGAAAGGTCAAGGGTGGGGTAGGAGTGTTTGGCATGCATGCAGACATTGCAGTTTTGGGGTGCTCCAGAGCAATGCTGTTGTGCTCAGGTTCTGTTTGTGGGCTTCTCATAGGGCCAGCTGGCCAGCCATTGTTAGAGCAGATGGGTAGACAAGATGGGCCACTGGTTTGATGCAGCAGGTTCCAGTTATATACCTAATAAGGATCTCAAGTGCTTAAGAGCTTGGAGATCCACCACCAACTAGAATAAGGAGTAGTGGTCTAGATCAGTGTTTCCCAGACTTGGCTCTCCAGCTGTTTTGGGGCTACAACTCCCATCATTCCTAGCTAGCAGGACCAGTGGTCAGGGATGATGGGAAATGTAGTCCAAAAAAATGCTGGAGGCCCAAGTTTGGGAAACTCTAGTCTAGATGGAACAGCAGACTGACTCTGGGTAAAGCAGTACCAGAGGTTTTGTGCTGGTCCTGGGGGCTAACCGAGAGGCGAGGTCCGAGTCCAGTCTGAGGT